GGGGCGAATCTGGCTTTTGTGTAGTGCTACCACTAATACGAAGGCTGGTGAGACCGTGTCAGTGTTAAAAATTGAGTAATTGTTGAAAGTTGAGGCCTGCATTGGGCTTGTAGCCTCAGTCAATGCCTTTCATTCTTTTTCTTTCTTAAAAAAAATTTTAAAGACTTTATTTATTTGACAGAGAGAGAGAGAGTGAGAGAGCACAAGCAAGGGGAGCAGCAAAGGGAAAAGGAGAAGCTGCCACTGAGCGGGGAGCCCTCTGTGGGACTCGATCCCAGGGCTCTGAGACCCTGAACGCTTAACCCACTGAGCCACCCAGCTACCCCCAGTCAATGCCTTCTTATGCTGTCTCCACTCGCTGCTGCCAAGCACCAGGGACAGTGATAGGACTCCTGGTGGAGGTTCCCATGGGCCCCCAGTGATGGCCAGGCTTCTATGACCAAGCCTCGTTTCCCAAATGACTGACCTGATTATGTGACAGTTAATGGTGAAGCAAAACATACTCTGCAGCGATTGCTTTAACGGCGAAATTCACTCCTTCCAAAGGAGGTATTTGTTTTGGTCCTTAAGCTGTCAGACCTATGCTGTCTAAATGTCAATATGACAAGGCATATGTTTAACCTCATGGGAAGAATTTAGAATATTATCTGGCAGATTCAGGTTCCTAAACCTGACATTTCTGGCATGTTCAGATCTCTGGAGCTGGTATATTTTGTGGCCCAGGGTACATGAATAATGACATCTCCTCTCCAATTGCGCCCTTTTTTTGTACTGTAAGTATTAGATGAGAACATTTTTTTTTTCTGTATTTTTAGTATCTCCTGGAATCTCACAATTTTGAAACTGGGGAATAGATTTTTTTCCACATAGATGTGAGGGTCTTAAAAAAACCTATCTTTTTTCTTTTTTAAAAAATTTTATATATTTACTTGATGGAGAGAGAGAGAGCACAGGCAGGGGGAGCAGGAGAAGGAGAAGCAGGCTCCCCACTGAGCAGGGAGCCCAACACAGGGCTCGATCCCAGAACCCTGGATCACACCCTGAGCCAGAGGCAGATGCTCAACCAACTGAGCCACCCAGGCATCCCTAAAAAACCTAGATTTTATTTTTAAATTTAATTTTTTATTTAAATTTTTTAATTTTTAAATTAACATATAATGTATTATTAGCCCCAGGGGTACAGGTATGTGAATTGCCAGGTTTACACACTTCACAGCACTCACCATAGCACATACCCTCCCCAATGTCCACAACCCAACTACCCTCTCCCTAATCCCCTCCCCCCGGCAACCCTCAGTTTGTTTTGTGAGATTAAGAGTCTCTTATAAAAAACCCTATCTTTTCATATATTGTTCACTCTTGGCCAAATCCTGATGAAAAGCAGGCAAGATAGTAACCGAAGTTAAAAATATGAAAAAGCACCACTTTGGGCTCCTCTCAGCACTGCCTGGGCTTATCAGAGCAAACCTACTCTAACTACACTTTAGCTCTGAAATCAGACAAATTTGATAAAAATAAAAATGGATGATTCTATTCTTTATGAAGCAAGACAAATTATGCTTTGGGAGAAAATAATTTGCTATAAAGTAGAAAATGTTTTAATATTTATATCTCATAATAAAACCATGACACATTTATAAACACTCTATCAGGCATTCTTACAACGGGGCCACCGTTGACAACCAGAAACGCAATAAATATGCACAGACACACTGAGTATGAAATATACATCTTGATTTTATAATTGTGTGTGCTTTATTTTTTACACAAATGGAATGGAAGTGTCGAATATTTACACTTAACAGGAGTGTAAGCTGTGCAGTGTCTCTGTAAACTCCAGCCCAGGCAAGGAGAATTTCCCCCTCCCTCCCCTCCTACACTACAGCTCGATGGAGAAACATCCTGTCAGAGAGAAGCACGAAACTGTCATATCGAAAGGATCTAACGGGTACAGCCTGGTGCACTCAGAATTTAAGACATACTTAGGAAACACAAATTCTGAAAGGAGAGAAGAAAAGTTTGCCATCCCATCGGGAGTCAACCTTGCCATTTGGTTGTCTGTCCTCACGAGTTGCTAGGGAGATTCCGTATTCCATCTTTCAGGTGATCTTTGTCTAACTCATCCACTTGTCTTAGCTTGTCCTCAGCTGCTACAAGAAACTGCACAGCTGTACAAGAAATGATTTCCAAAGCACAGTTTTCAGTGAGGAAGGATATTTACAGACTGGAGTGTGTGTGTGGGTTTCCATCCACATTCATTCATACCCAATGCAGTATGTGTATACAGGATATACATACCACATAGACCATACATACACACAGAAGTAAAATGCATATCCACAGAATTCTGTAGGGAGATCTCTGGCAAATCAGTTGTCAGCATGTCACTCCATATGCTTTCAGAGAAATGTCCCTGTTTCCCCCTGGGAGTGACGAATGACCACGATAAGCTTAGGAACTAGCCCGAGTCCTTGCCTTAAATATTTTTGTAGGAATTTAGGCAGGACCAAGACAGGAAAAAAAGAGATGTTATTTTACCAGCGAGTCCGTTCAATCTCACCAGAGCAATCACCAGCTGAAAAGCAGAGGGGGCTTCACATGAAAATGGGGGGGAAAAAAGCTTTTAAGTGGGAAAAAATGTCTCTCTCCAAACCAAGGCGATGGCATGGCTTCAATGAGAAGAATGAGGTTTGCTGTCAGAATGATTTCGGGGCCAGAGTCTGCCTTTGTAGAGAGGAAGTGTCCTCAGAGCCACAGGATGGTGCCGGGAGGGGGCTCACTGCGGACCAGCCTTCAGGCAGAGAGGCACCCAGGTGCCGCGGGGCCCAGAGCACTTGCATCGACACTGCGAGGGCAGTGGTGCAGGCTGGCTCGGTGAGGCGTGCTGGAGCTGGCTCCAGTCCGGGGCCTCAGGCTCAGCTTTGCTTTCTGGGCTGTGTAAGTGAAACGGTGACCCACAGGAACTGTGTCATCGGTCCAGTGTATGGACTTGCTGTCTGAATCAGCCATGAGCCCTTATAGGACAGAAAAATTTCAGAGTGGGGTATGGGCAAGGAGATGTTCAGAGGTGTGAGGAAGAGAAAAAGGACAGGAAAGGAGGGGGAAAGGGAAGAGAGACTAAAGGGGGTAGAGAGACAGGAGAGTGAAGGGGAGGGAGTCATGAGAGACCACAGAAGGAATGCAACACTCCGGGTAGACAGGCCAGTAGGAGAAAAGGAGAGGTGCACAAAGAGAGAGATGGAATGAGACAGAAATGGAAGGGGGAGAGCAGAGGAAAAGGAGGAGGGAAAACCAGAGGTGAGAGCCAGAGGAGTGGAGGGCTTTTCCCTGGCTCGGAGTCTGGAAGGGCTGGCAGTAGGATCTAAGACAGCTCACAGGCACCTGAGTGCGGCTTCGTAAAGCTGGGCTCACTGAGCAGACGGAGCCAAGCCAAGAACTTGGGGCTGAGGGGGCGAGGGCAGGGAGAGGCCGGCAAAGAAATGGCCAACAGATCCCATGGGAGGAGAGCAAAAAACAAATACCCCTGCAATTCGCTGACAAGTGCGGTTTTGATTTTGGTAAAGCTGAGACCCCCGTGGTGCTACACATTGTACCAGAGCATGAAAAATAGCACCAGTGACACGATCTGGCACTTTTCCGAAAGGGCCCAGCACGGGAAGGTGACATTGCGCCCCCAGCAAGCCTTCAGATTGGAGAGAGCTCCGGACAAAGTTTGCAGTGTTAGCACCAGTCTGGCCCCAGGCTCCAAGTGCATTTGCACCAGATGTAATCTGGGTAACTTTCCTGCCATATCCGTACAATCATCAGATTTGCTGCAAGATACACCAGTTCGTTGGAGCCCTAGAGACCTCAACATTGGGAAGCGCAAGACAACACAACACATGGAGGTGTAAATTCTATAGGAAAAGACCCTCTCACCAATTTGCTTGGTGATTCTTCAAGCAAATATATATGTATATATATATTTATATAAATCTACATAAAAAAATCAGTGCAAATGCCAATTCTAATCTGGAAGCATCTACACTAGGAAAATAAATAATTATATTACTACAAAACCAAGGGTTGGTGGTTCAATTTGATTGTACTCAGCCACAGCAATACTTAATATTAAATGGAAAGCACATCACACGACCCGCGGAAACATCTACTCATTAATGACAGTCCTTTAAATAAATGGTTGCATGCTCAGTTGAGAAACCAAAGAAGTTAGTATGGTGGCCTAAAAATAGAGCTGGGATCAGGAATGGCATTCTGGTGGCAGAAAACTTCTGGCAGCAATATTGATGAAAGTAGGCCTTGACCTGAAACTGGCGAATTGCAGCCACGGACATACCTTTAACGTTTTGAGCATTCTGAGGAAGTCCCCCCAGATTTAACTTTCATCAGAGGGAAAATGCATTGCTAGCCCTTCCGTTGGCAAAGGCAGCCTCAAGACTATAGGTAGATGAAAAATTTTGCATTTCTGTGTTTGTTTTGGTGACTGCAGCGAGGCAGACGGTGGTAGTTAGCTTAGCGTAAGATGAACAACACTTGGTTTTGGAAAGAGACCCTCATTCTGAGCTCCGATGTTCTTACTGGGAAGAAGCCCCATCACTGCTGATGGCTCTATCTCTCGCTCTCCCATCCCAGCCTGCATGCTGGTTTGCTGCACAGTGTGGCAGAATCCCTGCCAGGTCTGGATGTACCCCAGAAATAAGGCGATGGGGCTTAGTCTGGGCAGGCATAGAACCCAGAGTTGAGTGGTTATTGAGATCACCGAAAAGTCTCTCTCTAAACACCGTGGGCACAAGCAACGCTGATGTCATCATCAGCTCTAAAGTGGGATATAGGCTTTGGGAGGTTTTTTAAATCATCATTATTATAATTGCTAAAAAATAAACTTGGTCCAGGTGCAGCCCCCAAGAAAGGCAGTTCAATTGGTTGAGCTCAAAGTTGTTAATTATCTTTCCCTGTGGTTCTCTTTGCCCTGTACACAGAAACAAAGTCTGCACCCCTCACCCCCCCAACCAGATACTTCTCTCTTCCTCAAAGGAACAGTGCTTCTTGGGACAGATCTCTCCATGGCTCGATACCATTTCTGGCTGTCACAAAACCCTCAGTTACTTGTGAAACAGACAAAAAGAAAGTCCTAATTACTCATGGTTGGTCAAAATACTAAATGATCCTTTGAGAATTGCATGTAAATAACTAGGAACAAAGTTATTCAACTATTTGCATGGCAGGCCCAGGTTGTTTAACAAGATAAAAGCAAAAACTTCCCTTTAGATCATTTGAATGAGTTTGTCTCTGAAAGCCATCAGCTTAAAAATGCATTAACCAAAAGTCTTCCAAAAATACCCACAAGGGCAACTCATTAAGGGATGTGCTCCATGAGAGTGTGTTACTAATATGGAAGGGAGATCATGGGAGGTAAGTGAGGGAGAAGTCTTTGTCAGACTTTGGAAGGAACTCAGATGCTCTTAATGGATCATTGGCAACAAAAGGGAGAGTGCAACTTTCAGTTCTTGAATTTGATCATCTGCTGATAGTGCATCCATTTAGTCTCTCAATTAGTCATTACAAAATATTTCACAAAACTTTTTTAACCTATAGAAATTCATTTCTATACATTTAATATATTTTTATTGTATAAATTATTCTCATCTTTAGTGCCTTCTTTCAGTTTATAAATGGCAAAATAGACAATAAACAATCATAAAGCTACCCTCAGTGAATCCCCTCCTCTCAGTGAGGTCAGTCCTCCATACACTTGTGAATTTTATGAAATGCTCGTCTTTGTAGATGCCAGTCAAAGAAACTACACACTTATCCTTCCCTGATATTATGCCGTCTCCAAAGGGACTCCTTTCCTTTTTCCTTGTTTCTTTCTTTTGCTCGTTAAGAAATCAAAGAGTGTGCATAGTTATAAAATTCGAAGTGTACCAATTACAGATGTGGGTAATGGGAAGGTTGGTGAAGTTCAAGTGCTGACAACTTTTCTTTAAAGCAAAAGACACAGAGAGCTCAGCAGCTAAATCAGCTCTGGACATCTGCTGGGGTGAGGAGGCTGCCCATCTCTTGGGCAGAAAGCCCATCAGAGGTTCATCCCTACACCTGGCACTTTGAGCAAACCAAAGCCTTCCTGCATACTGCAAAGTCTTTTCTGTCCCACCCTGTGGCCCCTCCGTTTCCTTCATGGCTTCACACAGTTTGTGTTGTACATTCATAAGAATTCACATTGACTGCAAAAACATAAATGCAACAAAAACATAAAAGCCTCCAAGTAGTATATTATATATATTTTTTTCTTCTAAATGCTCTTCTGTCATTGTCGGAGGTGCAGTAGCTAATTTATAACTTCTCCTTTGAGGGAATCCAGATGAAAGGCCCAGACTGCTCTTCAATAACAAGCTTGCATTGATTATATATATCTTCTAAGGTGTCTCCTTGGACGATAGCTAGAACAAGAGACAACACGCCACGGTTAGGAATCATTCTCTGCCTGGTGAAGAATACCCATCAATCACACAGCAGAAGCCCAAACCAGTGACAGACGAACTCATATGGAAGCTTTGTATGACTTTTCATTAGTAAGGAAGGAAAAGTGGGAAATTTACTTAAGCAAGGTCACGTCAGTGAGTAAAAGAAAAAAAAAAGAAGCTTTCAATGCATGTCCTGGATCAGGTAACAAATGCACCACAGTCTTTCTACCTTCTACATGTCTGTCTGTGGTTCTGGACAATGAATCATTTATGTATTTAAATTTCATGGGTGCCAAAAAACAAAACAAAACAAAACAAAAAAAACAAAACAAAACAAAATTTCATGGGTGCCTACTCTGGGCTAGGCATGGATCAATTTTCAGACTGAGATCTCTCTGCTTATCAAAGAAAGCTGGCCTTTTATTCTATATTCTCTATTTACCTTGGCAGGCGCAGAAATTTAGACGTTTTTGACACAGGGAAATAATAAGGTTGGCAACTTGAGTTAACCCCTCCAACCCCTAAACCCTTAATAGGAAACCCCACTCATTCTCCAAGTCATCTGTTAAGTTGATACTTTGCCATACCAGGGCTGCTCATAGTGAGAATGCCTTATGACAGCTACTTACAAGAAACATAAATAAGAGGAAATATAAACAAACAGCTAACTCATGAATTACCTAGAATGCCAAGTCATCTGAAGCAGATTTAAGTGTATTTCATAACCTCCTCTGAACTAAAGTTAGCTTACAGAGAGCTCTCCAACACATGCCAGTATTATCTATAGGACATTAGGGAATAACAATGAATTGCTACTGAAACATAGTTTAGATCTTCCAACAACAACCTTGAGAATTTATCTCTGAGTGTGAGTCACCAGTCAAAATGTGCATGACTGTGATTTGATGTTTATACCTGGATGTTCTTTCAGGATAAAACATGACTCATACCTTTGTTTTTGATTGAAATTTTACTCAAGTTTACCTGGTTCAAAATATTTGCAGATTGCTAAGCTATTGGCATTTTCATATTCTGAGTAAGACAAACGGTAAAGCATCTAACTTCTCATAAGGAAATTCAGAAGGAAATTTCTTGTTTTTAAACCATTTGTTGTAAGGCAATTTCCACACAGTTTTATCACTCTTTGGATTTGATCTGTGTTTCATGAACATCGTTAAGAATAGAGAATCAAGGATACCCGGTGTCAGAAAATCTTCCTCTATTCCCCAAACTTCATGTTTCCAAGGAAATATTCAAAAAGAAAAGCAAAGTTTTGCCTTGGGACTTGACATGGAATCAATGAAAACAGATGTTCAACATCTCGTTCAACTGCTGCTAATGGGACGCAGACCTGCCCGTCATTGAGGCTGAGAAGGGAGCCCTGAGACTGCATCTCAGTAGAGGTAGCGCTTTGGAAGTTCCCTAATTGAGCTCTAAAGGTTTCTTTTTCAAGTTTTCTGATGATATCAGAAAGATAGCTTTTAATGCCTAAAATCTTCTTTCTCCTCCTTCTCCTTCTCTAAGGGAGGGAGAAAAGGGGGAGGGGCAAAGGGATTTCCAAGCGGGCTCCATGCCCCGCACAGAGCCCAATCCCAGGACCCAGAGATTTGACCTGAGCCGAAATCAAGAGTTAGATGCTTAACCTACTGAGCCACCAGGTGCCCCATCTGAGAGCTTGAGAGCAGGAGACATCTCAGTGCCATCTGAGGCTCATGCTTTAGCACAGGGCCAGTGGGAACCCAGAGTTAGCTGCCTGTGAATCCAGAGTAGATGGAACCCAGAGTTCTGGATCAGATAGGTAAAGCAGAGGGAAATTAGGGTTTCTCAGTGGGACATTTTTAGGGCCCAGGTATACTAGGCCTGGAGCGCTCTCTAATACCTAAGGGCAGACAGTCAATCCTTTCTCATAGTATAAAGGTATATGAACTTACCTGTAAAATATTCTCCAAATTCTTGTTCTAGCTTAATTGCACGATCATAGGTTTTCTTGGCTTGTTCTTCTGTTAGACGCTTATTCATCTCCCTGGGAAAATAAGGGTTTGGTATTAGAGCACACAGGAATGTGCCAAATCCTGAAAAATTAAAATGTGTGGCAAAAATGAATCCTGCAGGAAGCACAGTGTAATCTTACTAGCGGCTTCCTAGTCCTTATTTGGGACTCTTCTTTGCTGGAATAATTTCAGCAACAAGGACCCCTTCCAGAGGGCTCCCCCTCTCAAAGGGCGGCCTCTTGGTTTCACAGAGGCTGAATGTGTCCCTTTATGACTTCCAGTCACTGGCCTCTGTGCCGTCCTCTGCAGTCACACAGAGGAGGACTAAACCCCTTCCCTCCAAGACAGACACTGGGGTCTTTAAATCAAGTGCTCATATATCCCTTGAGGCTACCATTCTTTCAGAAAAACTGTCCTACTTTCTTCATCTCTTCTCTCAATGGATGTGATTTCCAAATGCTAACCTTTCTGGTTACCCTTCCTTGGACTTTGTCCTAGACTGGCTCGACCTCTCTTAAACATGGGACGAAATCTCAAATGAAATCTTCTAGGGGTGGTCCGAGGTGGGGAGAGGAGATGGTGAGAAGGGAGGGGACATCATCACAGTCTGTATTTCATCACATCTGAGAGAACTAGACTTGACTGTCGGCAGGGCCTGCCCTCCTGGGAACCTTTGAGTGCTCTGCTCCCCATTTTCCCCATGGGCTGCTGTTCATCTTCAGGGTGTAGCAGGAAGCATGTGGAGTGGAGAAACAGAAAGGGCTTCCCGAGAATCAGAGAAAATGTGACAGACCCCTTAGACATTGTATCTTTCAGGTGGAAGGGGTCTTCTGCGGCTCTCCCGGCTCAACTTCTGCAAAGGGCGAGGCATATCTACTGCAACAAGAGCCCTGAACACCATGTTTTTTTTTTTTTTTTTTTTTTTTTTTTTTTTTAAGACTTTTTTTTTTGAGAGAGAGAGGGAGGGAGAGAGAGAGAGAGAGAGAGAGCGCGAGCAGGAGGAGGGGCAACAGACTTCCTGCTGAGCGCAGAGCCATCACCTGACCCTGAGATCTTGACCTGAGCAGAAACCAAGAGTTGGACGTTTAACCAACTGAGCCACCCAAGTGCCCTCAACTTCATCTGCTTTTATAATCAAATGGCATTAGGAGGACTAGCTGAGGGAGGCGTGAATAAATGGACACAGAGAGAATGAAACAATCACACATGCTAGGATCAAAACACTTCCAAACAGATTATAAGCAATTAACTTCCAAACAGATTATAAGCAATTAACCTCCGTAGCAAACAAGGATAGAGGATCTTGGTAAGAGTCTCCAATGTTGACTTGGTTTTGTTCTGATAGGAGAATGGGCGATAAAGGAATTATGCCTGGGATTTTCTCTCTCTCTGTCCCTTTCTTTCTCTTAGTCTGTCAACTCTTGCTGTATGTAAGTGCTGCTTAATCACTGTAAGAATATTTAAATCCAACCTCAAGGACAAACTGAGTAGGAAGGAAATGGAAAATAACCCAATCAACTGATTCCTAACCAGTGGCAGCTTTATCTTCCCATGTCCTCTAGGTAGTAAAAAATTTTTGCCTACCAAACAAACTGTACTTCTTAAATAAAATTATATTGTCTTCCCATTTTTTTTCTCATCAAAGACATTTTATTAGTCAAAGACTGACAATGCTTGTCTCTGATCATCTTCTGAACAACAGCGTGGCTGTTCCGGGCTGATAAAAGCCTAGCCAAGGGCAGAGGTACTTTGGTTGGCCCACTGGGATGCATCACAGGGGCACGTAGAATACTGAAAGCATTGCTGCCCTTGCGTGCCCCTGAGGGAGCCAGAGACTGGGGTCTGGGACAGGTGACTTTAGACCATGTCACTGTGGCCTGAAGTAATAAAGGGACTTGAGAAGGTAAAAGAGAAAATCTGAAGTCAGATTCAAAGTTTTGGGGTTCTTTTAAAACCAACTTTTAGTCAAACAGACTTTGCATTATACCGAGACTTTCCCAAGGGGCTTATTTGGGAAAATAATTTAAAAAACTGAAGTGAGACATTAACATGATTCTTGACAGGATCTGATGGCTGCAACAGAAAAAAAAAATAGGAATTTTCTGAACTCTTGATGTTGAGATAAACTCATCTTGTCCTGAGGGATGGTATCTGCGATTCTCCTCCCAAACAGCACTAGTCCCAGAAGCTGTGAGTGGATGTCACCCTTGGGTCCGGAAGACGCTGGGCTAAATCCAGGGATATTTTTCATAGAAAGACAGGATTTTGCTCCAGATGTCAGGAAACCATGTGGCTCGGGATCTTCCTTGACATTCCTGGCTCATGCTAGCCTGTGTTCTCTGAATTCTCTTTGCACTTACTATAACCATCACTGAATTTCCATTTTTACCCTCTATCACCTCATCTATTATATTCCTTATCTCCGTGCCTAATCTGTGAGTTCACTGAGGGCGGAGACCAGGATCTGTTCATCGTGTGTGTCATGGAGCCTGGCTCAAGACTTCTTTGTCGAATGAGTAAATGAATGAATGAATCATTTATGTTGACAAATCAACATAATTATGATACAGTTGAAGACAGAAGAAAACATGGGCCACCATGGGAGCAAGAAGGTAAAAGCAGACTGGGGCTGGCAAGGTAAAGAGACACGGGAAAGCTTCCCACTGCCATGGGGTGGGGTAAGGCACAGTGGTCACGTGGTGGCACACTATAAAAAGAACATCTCTTTCCTCCAGAGCCTTGATTTTTATGCTTCCCTGAAGAGTCAGCTATGTATGTGCTAATAAGCTCTGTGGTTTGATGTAGATGATGCACTTGAGAAATACCGTGTGTCATGATGTATCAATGCCTACATGCGACAGCTGCCATGCCTTTGTTCCGGTTGACCTAGTATTCACTCCTCCCCGGGGTATGGGCAAACCATGCCTGCTTTTCTCCTGAAGTAAAACCCTTGGAAAAGAGGGAGCTGGAAAGTAAACATCCAGCCTTTCATAATAAGATCCCATCAGTTTGAATGTCACCGTTACTGCACTTGAGACTCAAGAATATGGCTGCAGCAAATTATTTCAGATTCATGGTCCTCATTGTGGAATCCAGCCATCAGTATGTTTAATTTTCCTTGGCGATAAGTGGCTGTGACAGTGCCCTGAGGCAAAACTGAGTAAGTCATCTCATAGTTGTGGATGGAAGGAGACCTTCTCCTACCGAGCACCAGATGGGAATGTCTCCCCAATGTCACATGGAGGCAAACGTGCAACTGCTGTTTCTCCCTCAGGCCTCACCTCCCTGGGAAGCCATTTATCCCACTGCGTATTTATGACGTGAAAACTTACTCTTCAATTTTCTGAAACAGGCCTTTAAAGTCCTGTGGCCAGGAGGTGAGGGCCATTTTTCTCTTCTTCTTCCTAATGTTAGCATTGTTAATAATATTTATGAGGCTCTTTACAGATTAGAAATCACTTTCACATAATGAAATGTGTGGTTGCTTAAATTATTGTATCCTAGATGAGGAGAGATTTCAAGAGTGCTATCAGGCATAATACTACCCAGAACCAGTATTTTAACATCAACACATATTTTTCCATGTGCCAATTCTGGGCAAAGCTCTGGACGTTATAAGTTAACACCTAAATTCTCAGGGCAGAAGGTACTGTCCGTGACCCGTGGTAAGAACCTTTGTCCATCTTTTATTTATGGGAACGTATTCTGCTTTTAAGACATCTCTCTGGCAACTTCCCCAGAGAAAGTGGATTTAACTTAATTCTCTTAGGCTGTAGTTGCAGCTGCTGTAGTTTGCTGTTTCTTTACTCTGGGATGAGATGTGGAACAGTTGGCTGATACCTTCTGCAAGTAATTGTTTCACCTCTGGGACTAAATAATTTCCTTTTTTTTGTTTTTTTTTGTTTTTTTGTTTTTTCCACGTGCACTGTTTTCTAGGACTCTGTGGCTCACTTCTGAATCCTGTCAAACACTCTAAGATCTCGAGGCCCAAATGTGAGCAAAGCTCTTGCCAACACACACACCAGCATTATCTCTTGTGACTTCTTGGAAAGGTAGTTTATGTGTTTTACAATGACAAAATAGTTTTATTCTTTTTACAATGAAGTAACTTGAAAATTTCACAGAGCAGCTACTGTTTATGGAGTGCTTACTATATGCTAAAGACCCTATGGAGGGCTTCGTATTCATGTTCATGTTTAACCTTTATACCAGTTGTGAGGTACGTATTATTAATGTGCCTAGTTTACAGGAGAGGAACTACATCTCAGAGAGGTCAAGCAACTTGTCTGAGGTGACATTAACTGATCAGAAGAAGCAAAAGGGAAAAGGAAAGGGAAAAACCAAACCTAGCCCAACCAATTTTCAAGTCCCTGCTTTCTGGCTACGGCAGCCTCACATTTGTATGGGAGTTGTCTAGAAAGCAGTGCCAACAATTTCTAACAAATCGCCACTGAAAATATGTTACTTTCTAGTCTATCTGGGAATATTTGCCCAATTTATTTAGTGGCTTTTAAAGAAAGCTTTTTGCCAGTCCTCTGAAAAATAAAAACCACACACAAAAAATCTGAGTCACACATTTTTGCCTTATTCATAAATGTGAACAAGTATGGAGCTATTGGTTTAAGTTATAAATGTGTTCCTGTTGTGTCACTAAGAAAACTCCCTTTTTAAGGATAGTGGTCTACATACAGAAGGTTTTCATTAAGGAACAGAAGAATTCTATGCTAGAACTAAATGAAATATCAATAGAAAGAGTCTAAAACATTGTCTTCTCCCTCTAGAAAAACCCACATGTTTAAAAAGATTTACTAATGAACTGCTTTCAGAAGAAAGAGACAAGCAAAGATGATTGCTTCCTACCATTTGAAAGCCAAAACAAACCAACTTACCTTCATAACAACAAAATGAAACAAAAGAAATATCACACACACACACACCAACTTGTGAAATGAATATTAAAATAAAGAAACATTAGTGAAGACATATTAGGGGAATACTGACATTATGCCTCTAGTGGTTCAAAAACACTTCCACATATTTTTTTCAAAACGGAACTGCTTTAAAAAAAATCAACGATAGCACTTCTGACTTCTAAGCACTTATGACCAAGAGCTGTCAGCAATCTGCTGTGTCGCATGGAACAGGCGGCAGGTGATGGTCTCCCGTGCCCTCCACTTACATCAAAGGTTCCAGAGATTTGGGCTTAATGAAGATGGCAATGGGATAGAGCTGGGCAACTTGTAACCGTTTGATAGCATTTCCTGACACGTCAAGTATACAGTGTTTGCCCTGGTAGAAAGAGAAGAAAAATATGGAGTTAATCCAGAAAGAGGGATAATAATCCAACCAAAATAAACCAACAACAAAACAAAAAGTGAGTATGTTTTCAAGGAATGTAAGGGATACTGAATCTCTAAAGGCTGAGAAAAGATCTTTGCAAAGCATAAATAAAGGCTGATATTCAGGGTCCTCACTGAATGCTTCTACAAGTCCCTTACGAAGTGCCTGCCATGGCCATAGAGATTTCACAGGTGTCACCTCAGCTTAAGATTCTTAGATAAATACCTGATCTTTTGCAAAAAGAAGGTATGTAGCCTTATGTAATGTGATTGTGTCCACTCATGAAGTTCTCATAAACCATCAAGATAACCATCAACAAGAAATCCCCAAATCTATGAGGGAGGTATTACCAGCCACATTTTACAGAAGATACGACTAAAGCTTAGAAACAATAAGTAACTTGCTCAAAGTCTCAGTGCCAGGAAAACTCAAAGTCAAGTCTTGAGCACTGACAGAACTGTTGGCTGGAATAAGTAGATACCTCATTCTCTTATCCTGACCGATGTTAAATCTGGAGGAATAGTAAGCATGTGAATTTGGAACAATCCCACATATATTTGCTGAGCGCTTCTTGTATCCTGCCTGGGTATGCTCAGTCTAGTACAGCTGAGGACGGACACAAAGAGTTACCTTCACTATTACATCCTTAAATTTCTTGTTTGTTACATGAAAACCCTATTGCAGGTAGCACGCCTGCCTCATTTAACTGGGGTTCCACTGCAATGCGTGCTCAGAGCAAGGAGTTGCTTTATAAAGTATTTTGGGAAAAGTAGATACATTTGGCAAACATCATATTCTAACTCCTGGAGAGAAATGGCCTCCTTACCCTGCGGCCCAAAGAACTTTAAAAAAAGAAGAGAAAAAGGATATTGTGCAGGTAGGAACAATCCTAAATCAACAGTAGGGGATTAAAAACTTTCTATGAATACTCATGTGAAGACAAAGAGACTAGTGAATACTTGAGCTCTTATAGGAGAAATATACTAAGATGGTTCAAACCCTGTATCACTTAAGCAATAAATTCCAAGTTTGCTCTCTGTGAAATGCAACAGCTAAACAACATGTCTAAATGCTGTTCAATTATTCACTGGCCAGAACATTTCAAGTTAAAAGAAGTCATATTTACACGTTCAAAGGGGAGAATAGACAAATGCATTCAGGAATCTGATTAGAAACAACATGATAGAGCTTAAAAAACCCAACTTTTGAGAGAAAGGAAGAGATGTAGTTTACTGTATTCTCAGATAGCCCTTAAAATTTCTTGTTTAATTTTTTACCAGTATATGAAAAGGCTATGTCAAATTACATAAAATCAACCCAACAAATATTAATTATATAACAAACAGGATTGGCTCTTAACGCTTTTCTCTCATGAAACTGATCATCTGTGTTGACAGGGGATTAGGATCTCTCTATAAGCAGATCTTAGAGCCACACTCAAGTGTCTTCCTATCCTGTTCTCTCTTGAACATTCCCTTCCCTTGCAAGGCCTTGAAATTAACAATGGGAAGGGAATGGTGGTATTCACACCTCCTCTCAGTTGGAATTTCTGCCAGCTGGAAGCTAGGCCCTAGCCCTCTTCATCTACTTACCCCTCCCCCAGGAGGGTCCTGAGGGCCCCAAGTTTTCAGGGAAATGAAATGAAACTCCTGCTGACAAAAAGAATTGAGGACCCTGATTTAAACAACCAAGAGTACTAAAGCTTCCTTAACACATTCAATGTTGTTTACTGGGGCCAAAGATAAGTACGTCAAGGACAAAGTGAATCTCCATAAACTTCAAGTTGTTATTTGCCTTTAGGTTTATAACCCCCTCCTCCCCACAAGTCAGTCAGCATACCTTATTGAGATTAGAACAAAGATTAATGACCTTGCTCTAAAGTCATTCTCCGCTTAGAGGTCTTAAAAGGAATATTTAATCAAAATTTACAACTGCAATTAGGGAAGAGTAATGACCAAAGATGCAGTTTGCCACCCGGGAGCCTTCTTTAAGGGAGGTGTAAGATGATTGGCGGACATACCCTTTCTGCTACGAATCTCACAGACTGCACACTGGTTCCATATAAGTTGTCATTGTACTGGCCAGCTTCTATAAACTTGTGCTCTTGGATATCTTTCTCCATTTGTTCTCTGGAAATGACAAAGTGGTAGTCTCTGCCATCTACCTCATAGTCACGCTTTGGCCTCGTAGTATCTTTATAAAACAAAAATAATAAAATTAAGGTAATTTATATTCATAAACAGCATTTATACCTCTTCTCTTCACCATACCCTCAACATAGATATACAAAATATGTAATATGGAGGACCCTGACGTAATGACGGGTACTAGTTAGCCTCCCATTGTAAGCAACTACAAAACTAGACAAAGTGAATGGAGTAGCTACTGTCGGGCATCAGAAGGTAGGCAAGACAGACAGCACAGGGCTGTGACCTTGAGACTGGAGATGCACACAAGGGGAACTCTCCAATCACTCCACCTCCATTTCCAAGTGGAGGGTCTAGAACTGAAGAAGGTGATTTGCCAGTAAGTTATTAACAGCCAGAACAAAAACACAATATTCTACAAAGAAAGATAACCGAATCCAGACTCTCAAAAATGTAGTCTCACCATAAAAAATTATGGGACAAGCAAAAAAGCAGGAAAATTTGTCATATATCCAGGAGAGAAAAACTGGACAAACAATAAAAATATATTTAGGGATTTGAAAGATATAATAGGAGATCATAAAGTCATTAACTCTAATCATGGTTAGAGGTAACTGAAGTTCTTAGTAGGAAGAAAAGGGAAAACAAACCTATCAGTATAAATAAAAGATGTTCAACTATTTTCAATCTTTGACTCAGCTATTTTCTTCCTAGGAATCTATCTTAAAAAATTATCAAAGCTTCAGATAAAGTTTTATCCTTAAAGATGTTCAATATATTAATTTATAAATTATAAATAACTATCACATAATTATAATTATACTTTAATTATAATTCATAAGAGTGAAAAGGAGAGACAACCCAAATACCCATAAATGAGGAATGATTATGACATAATAATCACTTAAAATATTTACATAAAACTTTAAATAATGTTAAGCCAAAGAAACCGTATATATCTAATATGTACCCAATCAGAGGAGAGAATGCATGCATAGAAAGAAGAAAAAGGCGAAAATCTATGAAAATATTAACAATGGTGTTATCTCTGGATACTCTGAAAGTCTGTATATTTTTATTTTTCTTGCTTAACTTTTTTTTTGCATTTTCTAGGTTTTGTACAATGAACATATATTGAGCATCATAAAACAGTGCTAATAATTAAAACAAAAGAAAAAGTGCCAGGTGGAGGGGAAAGTGGGAGTGGTCATTAAGGACTGTCTGGGCTTTTTCTTTCTAAGGTGGAGGGATGCACAGGAGGCTGCTATGAATGGAGTAGGGTTTGACCTGATCATTTCTGTCTGGTCTCTTTCTCAAGATAGGCTCTTTGGCAGGATCTCTTCCCAGAGTCCTTGCTGGGAGCAATTTCTTGAGATACAGCAATCATCCTAGTTCCAAGAGATTCCCACTATTCTTAGTTATTCTGGATGACATCTATAGTGCTGAAATGTACGAGACACTTCAAAGCATGAAGCTTCAAAGATGTACAGAGAGGAAGAAATATTTGTTGGGATAGGTTTAAGAGCTCAGTTATCTAATAAATTGAAATTCCTTTGCGGGGGGGGGTCTGTTTGAACACACACACACACACACACACACACACACACACACAGAACAGAAGGCCTCTCCATACTTTTCTGTGACGTCATGGGAGTAGGGGTGAATGGGAAGGTGCGGTATGCAGGGCAGGCAGAGCAGACAGACTCTTAGGGGGCTACACTTAGTGGGACCAGGAGACCCGTGATCCTCCATCAGGGCAAGAACTCAGATTAAAATCTGTGATGGCCTAGAGGGTAGATGAAAGTTTTACACGACTTATTGTCTTCATCCTCTCATATTCTAGCACTGTTATCAGCCATGGAAAAGGCTGTTTTGTTTTGGGATTGACACATGGCCCTAAGCCAACCTGAGATGATTTTAATACATGGCTTTGTCTCTGATCTCTCTTATTCTATGGGAGAAGAAGCTTCAGTGAGATTTCTATCAGTTTATAAGAACATTATAATGCCTATCAATAATTCTATGCTCTTTTAAAGGCCATGGGAGTTACAGGATGAAAAGAGTCATCCTGCCTTCTGGGGGATCACAGGCAGTTTGGAGGACGTATTATACTCACTAAATAGGGAATACGCAACAGCACTGATGAAAAGTGTTAAGCAGAGAAAATTAAGATGCTTAGATTAAAAAAAAAGATGTTCAGATAATAGGTAACTGATAGTATTTGAATCACTGAAGACACCATTGAGGAACAGAATTACACTTTATTGTCTCAAAGGAGGAGAGCCTTTCTTGCAGCGAAAAGAGAAACGATACTTACGAGGCACACAGGAGCCAAACTTGTCGGGGAATTCAGATATCAAGTCATCATTGATCCGATCCTTCATGGGGCCCAGGATAATCACTGGCCGGGTATAGTTTACTGCAGAGAGGAGAAGATGCAAATGAGGGGGAAAGACGTGGACAGGACCGCACAACTGCTCTGCCCAGGTGAGTCTTAAGGTGAAATTACCAAACAGAACCGCTGAGGGCTTTACATCATTGTGTAAGTTGCCCGAACAGCCTGGCAGGAGAAATTGGTGTTTAACACTCAGTATGCTGGCTGTGCCTACTTTCTGGAATTTAGCAATAGGGAAAAGCAACTGCAGTATCTGTCAATGAAAAGAAATGTTCGGAGGGGTTTTGCTTACTCTTAAGTTATGCCTACACAATGTCAAAACAACTACTGAATTTAGTCAATTGCGTGGGAGCAAAAAGATTCCAAAGTAGCTCTCTGGCCATTGTTTAGATAATGACTTTAAGAAGTAATTGTTAGCATAATGACACCTTATGTTTTTATAATTGTTTTCCTCAGCTCAAAATGCTCCCTATTATAGCTCTGCTAGAGTTTTCCCAATTCCTTTGTAACACGAAGGTAGAAGGAACTCTAAAGTCCATTTGGTACCATTCCTCCTCCAACTCTTGAATTTTCTCTGCAGTATCCTTGTCCATAGCCATTAGCCTCTGTATAAAGGCTTCCCAGAAAAAGAAATGGAGCCGCCCAGAGGATAGCTTGTATCTTAGGACAGGTCCGCTAGAAAGCCTTTCTCAATACTGAGCTGAGACTTCAGTCTCCCAGGAGATTTTATCCATTTGTCCTGTAGGTGGAGCTGTTTAGTGATTCTAAGGTGCTCCTTCCACTCAGGACCACTAATCTGGAGGACTGCCTCTTCCTCCTGGGAGCTGCCCCTGTCCCTGGTTAGCAGGGAAGCTGTTCGTGCCAAAGAGAGAGCACAATCTGGGCTGGGGACAGTTGGATATTAAGCACAGCTCATCCTCCTTAATCCTTCACTCTTCGGCTCCTCTGATGGTGTCACCTGATATGGCCTAGAAATCAGGAACCAGAACATGCTGGGAAACTTACTTTCCTGCCTTGTGACAGGCTCATAAGAAAGAATGAAGTCTTCTTGCCCTCCTGAGAAGAGAAGAAAGGAAAATTACAGTGAACTAACAACCAGTCATATCCCACAGATCCCAGCCACAAGCCCTGCTCCGAAACACAGGAAACAGACACAGTTTAGGGTTCATTTTCCTTGCTTGCTCTCCTGGAGCCATTCCAAAAAATCCCTCCAGCCTCATAAAACTCCAGCACTATGATAATATCAGGTTCTTGAAGGTTATAACTATCAGTCATGATAGAGACTAGCCACCTGCAGTTCACCAGAGCAGTGACCTATGACTTCTGTCTGCCTTCTGTCTGACACTGAGGAGTGGAGCTGACACTGAGGAGTGGAGCTCTGTCTGACACTGCCTTCTGTGTGACACTGAGGAGTAGAGCTCCTATTACTTACACTTAAAACGAAACCATTTAATTCAAGCTCATCCAGTAGTTTGCTGCTACATTATCAGAATTTCTGGACCTTTTATTTCATCTTCTACTTTATTTCCCAAAGAAGCATATTGGCCAAAAGCAAGTGTCTGCTTGGTTCATTTATGTGACAAGAACTCCATCAGTATAAACCTCAGGACACTGAAGATTTTATTCTACTGTTAATTCATCAGGAAAATGCTGGGTCGGTTCCAGAAGATAAAAAATTTGAGGAGGACCTTAAATCACTGGTCAGAATGGCTACTACCTCTAGCCTCTCACCTTTGGAAAGAGAACTGAGGAAGATAATGTAGTATAAGTGTCAGGCCCTCCAGTGACATTTACTACAAGCCTTCTGATTCGCAGGGGCCTCAAGTCAATCGATTACCATGGCAAGTCAATTGGCTTTAGGCAATTATTTTTTCAAACATCTGTGTTACCCAGTTAATAAACTGGGCCCAGGATTAGCCAAGATCAGCTGTGAACCCAGAGGATCTACTCCTTTCTTTGCATTAGACCCAGCACTGACTGTGTTTTAGTAGGGTACTAGTTTAGGGATATTGGAAAGGACTTCCTGTATGCTGTTCTACAGAGGAGTGCCATAGGAGGTAGTACTTCCTGAAACCACCAACGGACAACACAACTCATTGCTTTATCTGCTCGTCCCCCTTGAAACACATTCCATCTGCCAATGTGCTCCTCCTTTAACAGACAGCACCATGAAAGGTGAGTTAATTTCATCAAAGGAGTTAATATTACAGAGAGTTTTGATAATGACAACCAGTTTGGGGAAACAGGCAATATGTGGCTAAAGCTCTGGAGTACAGATGTCTTCCCTGCACCCAGGGAGCTGGCATGGGGCAGGGTGAGAGTGTCTTACTTTTTTGAGCATGAGAAATGGCCCCAGGCCCAAGTCACATCTCTCCTCACCCTTAGGCAGGCTTACTCTGAGAATGGCACTGCTAGCTAAGCTACTTCCTTATGGCGTGGAGAACAAGCCTTGATGGTCCTTTTCAGTGACATCTACTCATGGCTCCTCCAAGAATGTTCAGGGACTTTTCTACATCTGGGGTGTGGTATGTGAGGAGTCAGAGTCACAATTTTTTTTTAAATTTGGGAAAATATGATTCCCTTTTAATAAACTAAACAGCTGAAAGTTAGTCTAGGCCAAAAAATAATGAAGGTGATTGACTGCTGAGATCCACAGTTATCTAAAGCCTGAGATATGTAGAGGTCATAGGAGCTCAGAAGGTAAGTGTAAAAATGCCAGGGGACAAAGCATAGCTTTAGGGCTAGAAACATGGCCAGTGAGTACTGAAGTGTTTGACTGCAACTTCATGGGGAGAGCTTTATGGACTGACTAATATGTGAGAGGGGACTTCTGAGCACAGGATAACAAAGCTTTCAAACATCAGGAGATACTTATGCCTCTCTACTAGACTGGGAACCCCATAAAGGCGAGGACTGGCTTTCATTTACCATGGCGTCCCCAGGGCTCAACCCAGAGAAAAATGTCAATGAATTTACATTCTGATTTTAGTGGTAGGAAATGGGATGAGTAATGAGGCCAAAGATAGGTTTTCCTTTGTGTTCCTGTCTGTATGCTTTCACTCTGGGAAGTGTGGTTTTCTCTAAATAAATATAACACGTCATGTTCCCATAGGAATCTTCCCAATGTCCTTACAAATCATTCTGATGGGCTATTCTAAAGGCAAGCCTTAAATAAAATATTTGGTGACGGTATGTTTCATTCGTGATTCAGAAAACTAGGACAAAGCAACACAGCTTTGGTTAACTTTGTTGGAGAGTCCTGTAGTTCTTCTGTTTATCTGTTGCTTTTGGCTTTACTTTCTAACTTACAAAAGGCCCTGGTTCTTGTTCAGAGCGGGAAGGCTGGCAGATGGCAGTGGTGGCATCCTTACGTCAAGGCCCATCCCACTTCTAAAGACCCTGTGACAGTCATGTACAGGGTTAGGAGTAGCTGACCTGCGGGGGAGCTGTGGTGGATGGGATGATGTCACAACTGTGATCTCAGCACGTTAAACCAATTTTTCCTTTCATGTTCGGGAATGAAAAACCCTATGGGTAATGGGAAGGAGACTAAGAGGAGGAGGGGAAAAAAAGCCACAGCAATGAATGTAAGATAATTTCACGTCTGTATGGCCGTAAAGGGCTTTCACAACCATTGCTGTTTTTTTCGTAGTTATTTCTGTTGAGGTAGATGCTCTGATGATCCCCACTTTACAGATGAAGGAGCTGAGGCTCAAAGGTGTTAATGGGGCTTGTTGTTTTCAGTCAGGAAGTAGTGGGAGTCGAGATGTAAAACCACATCTTTTTGGACTCCTCATTGAGTGCATGGCAAGAGATGGAGAATTTTCTGATGGGACTGCGATGGAGGGGCAAACCTTACCCATGTACAAAGAATGGGTGGGAGAGTCACTGGGAGGCCAGAAGAGGCTCCATCTGTAAACACCAGCTGTTTTTTTTTTTTTTTAAATGCCGCTGTGTCATCTCCATACAGAGTCATCCTTAGTAGTTTTCCTATTTTTTGCTCAAGAGGTGTTGGCACTTAGAAATAACAGCTGACAAATAGGTACAAACTATTACTTGGTCTTGTTCTGGCAAGGGCCCGGCTGGCCGTGGGAGAGCAGCACAGAGCCGGGCGCAGACAGCTGCAGCGGTGGGACAGTCAGCGGAGGCGTCTGCCCACAGTGTCCACGAGACCCTCTGGGTCTGAACTGGAAGCAAGTCACAAGAGGAGGGACACGGAGGGAGACCCTCACATGCCCAGATGATGGAGAAAAGCAACTTGGTGTTCTTTAGGAATTTTTGGAAACTAGAAAAGAGAGAGGACGGAAGGGCAGTACATTTAATATTCAACATGTAGTGTTCAGTGCCTGCTTGGGATGATTCTTAAGAAGAAATTAGTTTCTTAGAGGCAAGGAATGTTAGCTTTGGAGCTCACAGGGTTCCTAGATGGCGAGTGCGTGGCACATGGTGTCCCTGCCCCATTCCATGCCATTGGGGGGCACCACAGATTGGTCACTGCCCACATTACCACTGGGCCTCGATCTGGCCTCGATACTTTTCAGTACAATTCTTCTGGCAGCTATCACCCATTGGTCAAAGCCGGGATCTTGGTTCAAATCTGCTTGCCATCTGTGCTCTGACTCAAGCTGCTCAATTTACAAAGGAGAGAACTGAGGTTCAAAGATGATGAGTGATTTCTTCAAGGTCGCATACTGAATTAGTGTTTCAGTGTCTCCACAGGACGTTCAGAAGATTAAATCCGTTACTGTACATAGAACTCTTAAAGCCAGGCTTAGCGCACAGTTAATGCTATATAAAGGTTTCTGCTTGTATTAATTTGATAGGTAGTATGGAATAGTTGAAATGTACTGGGTAAAGCAGGAGGCAGCTGGCATTACAAACTGTCTGGAAGAGGGACAGTGTAAGGAATTCAGAAGCAGAATATCTCGGCTGGTCTTCCAGAATGCCCCTCTACCATGCAGTCTCTTAAAGCTTTAGCTTCCTCATCCGTAAAAGGGAGTGTTAACCTGAGATATATCTCAGTTTTGTTGCAGAAATCAAATAAGGGAAAATAGATAATGAGAAACTGCCTTATAAAGGCAACTAGAGGAAATACAAGGGCCATAATTGAAGACAGCAGAGAAAAGAGAAGAATACGGGCGTAACTTTGACAAATCCCAATGGAAAAGTATTATGTCTCCTCTGATCAGCATTTAGTTCCACTCAGATCGCTCCTTCAAGGTCCATGTTTTGAAACTCTTACGTAACTGATGAACACCAATAGGTTATGGAGATAATCAGCAGTTCCCCAGTCCCCATCGTGATGTAAAGAACTTTGTGAGCTTTGAGGAAGGCAGGTCTCTGCTGCAGACATTTGCAGTCTCCGTTATACCTATATGGTCTATTACTGTGTCCTAATACAAGGGCATCTGAAAGCCAGGATATTAAAACAGCCACAAGTACAAGCCTGTACTGTACGATTTTGTTGACAGACAGAAATCTGCAATTAGTCCTTAATTAAGATGGTTGTGAGGGGGTATTTCACATAATTATACAATGTGCGCTGTAATTAATTGCAGTTTAGCTAGTGCTTGATATAGCCGGACTTTGAAAAATTCTATTTTATAATCCTGAGATGGCGCAGGAAAGGTCGGGGCTGTTTATTAGAAACTGACGTTTGTGTAAGTGTGTGTGTGTGTGTGTGTGTGTGTGTGTGTGTATGTGTATCTCAGGTAATGGATGAGGCTTTCAGTTAGGGTTGTCACAACGCATATTTCCAAGGTGCAGTGTGAATTGTGCCTCTGGAGCTACGAGACATAGTGCTCTGGGACTTTGCTCCTAACCACTGAACATTTTTTAAAGCACTGTGTTCCACAGTGGACATGGAATGGTTCTAAGAGTAAAAAAAAAACAAAAAACAAAAAAACAAAACAAAAAAAACAAAAAACACCTGGACATCAGTGGAAAAGGTCTTTTTAGTCTTTGTTTATACTGCTATCCACAAAACATAAAAGTTTGTTATAATTACAGCAAAACCCAGAAATTCAGTAGAAAACTGCAGCCCGTGTTGATTTCAAAATGGCAATTTTCTGGAAACCACATCTGTTCCAAGTCTCTGGGCCTGCCTGGAAAGTTCCTTCCTTAACCTACTGAGCTGGCATGCCCCTCAAAGAAGCTCAGCTCAAAGGGCACTTCCTCTCTGAAATCATCTCTGAAGCCCCTACTCATCTTGAACCAGACTTTTTTTTTAGAAACTGCTACATGTTGCACATTTTTGTTGTTGCTGCTGTTTATCGATACCTCTCCCCACTGTGTGTGCTGAGTTCTAGAGTTGGTTGAGGTTCATACTGGGTCTCATGGTGCCTTTGAAGAGAGCATGATATATGGTGCATGCTGAATGAATAAAGAAATATTCCTCTTTAATTCCTTTTATTTCCATCCTGGGGAGAGAAATATTTTTTTCCTCTAAGCTATGACAAAGGCTGTTCTTACTTTCATTCATTTGTAAAGCAAGCAATCTGTGTGGTGATCGGTAACCTCAGATAAGACCCAAACCAATGCTGATTATTGGACTCCACATTTGCGCTTGTAATATCATGGAGTCCAGTTCCAATTCTTCTCTCTTCTCATAGATAATTCAAGGGGCTTGCAAGTGTTCCTTTTTTCACTCAGTAAGTATTTGTGTGTACCCACTATTTGATAATGAAGAGTTATTGATGTCATCCTAGAACATCACTACCAAAAACCCTGTACACAGCTGAAAGCTTTGGCCCAGTTTTTCTAACTTAATGATTCTGGGAAGAACATTCCTACCCATGAAAGAGAAAAGGATTTCCAAAGGAAAAGGTAGTTCTTGTATATACTTTTCATGAAAAGAATTGAAAGAACAAGGTATGATGTTTCCCCTTTCTATACTTCTGTCTGCACGATAGAAGTACAATACTTAGACCTGCATATCAAAGAAACTAGGGTTATTGGTCCCACAAAACTCAAAAAGTTATTTTTTTTCCTTATATTAAGTTGAGGTACCTCAGGTATCAGGAAGGCAATCTTTGGTCACTTCTTCTTAGCCTGGTATCTCTTTGTTTTAAAATTAAATGAAGGGAAGGGGGAGGCAAATGTTTTGCCAAGTTGCGATAATCATGAAATTATAAGAGTTGGAAGAATGCAAAAATGTCAAGGGTCATGCTGAGAAAAAGAACCCCCTGATTCCTGTCACCAAGACTTGTCAGTCTTTTGAGGAAGAAAATTAGGTGGTTCTCTCATATTATTTGACTTATTGAGGATATCTCATTACATTTTTTTTTTTCCATTTCATTCTGTACTATGTTTTGTCTTCCTCCTCCGGCCCCTACCTCTCTCTGCCACCTTTCTTTTTTTGTTCTTTTTTCTATTTGCTACCAATCTGAATCTATGAAGCCTTTCTCAAAATCCACATGAATTTGTCATATTCCAAAAGTACCAGTTGGCACTCCACCACAAAAAAGGCATGGTTTTATAAAGTACCATGCTGTCATGGGAGAGCAAAAACAGAAACTCTTTTTAATTAATACGTTGCTTGAGGGGAGACAAAAATCCCAACCAATTTCTGGCATGGTGGCTGTAGGTCAATTGTATTGGGCCTGTACTTTTCTAATATCCTCAGTAATCACTTTTTGAGTAACCCATTTCACTAAGGAGGACAAATAACTATTACAAAAGTTGTAAGGATCCCCGTGGTAATATGTACCTATGATAGTCACCCAAACCCAGTAAGTAGGTGGTAAGAAACCATATGAATGCATCAAAGGGATGTGCTTGGTGTTTGGTGAACATTTTTATATACTAAGCAAATGGCTTGAGGTGACCAAACAAAGATAAAGACCAGGAACAATTTTTAGTTACCTACCTTTTCAGAAAGTTAAGCTTTCTGATCTAAGATTTATTCACTACCCCCCCCACAAAAAAAAAAAAGTGAGTTCCTTCACCATTAGAGGATGAAACTTTTTCATCACTTCCCAACCATGAGAAATATAAAGTTAGATATATCATAGTATCTGCCTTCGAATATTAACCAAGGAGAGAAGAGATCTAAAAGTTCACACTCCATTTAAAAGGAACACAGTAATTTTGCAAGATTTCTCTTGGAAAGGGAAGATGGCAACAGAAAGAAAAAGGCAAAATGAGAAGGAAAAGAAAACCATGATGACTTTTCCACCACCCTGCAGGAAGTTTTAATTACTGTAGGGGGTAGAATGTCCAAGTCTGCCAGGCTGAGCCTTCCCCCCACCTTCTCTGGGAGAACCGCATCACCAGGCTAGAGCCAGCTGAAGCGGAAACTGTTTCTGGTTACCAGCAAGCCGGCTACTGCTTGCACTCAGCACAGAGGAGTCCACAGATGGCCCTAGTGTCTTTTGTATCTTTCCACATCACACGACGATTTCATGTCAAGCCATTTGCTTTGGATGAGGATGATCAAGGGCAGCAATTAAAACACAACCAGAGCAAAAACGGGCAATGACCACCACAGGCAATGGAGCAATCGCAAAGAAAAGAACCACAAACCAAAGCAGTAACTTACGGTAGCTACTTTCGCTATCGCTGGCATTAGAAGAGACATGTTCTGCAAGAACAGCACAGCAAATTAAAGAAATACCAAGCACTGGAGAGCAGCCAACGTAAAAGAATAACACTCATGCAAGGCTACTACAAGTGTAAGCGGGAGGCACGGGAAAGGCTGCGGAAGAGGTGGCATTAAGAAAACTCAGATACGGTACAAAAGATGAAAACTTTATCTCCACATTATAGGAAGCTACTACTTGATTGTTGGGTCTTCTTTTTAGCAAACAGGAAAGTACCTTTAATTGCAAAAAAAAAAAAAAAAAATACAGAACGTCAATCTAAGCACTTTTCTTTCCCCGCATACTTTGCTCCATTCACATGGGCCTGGTTTTCCAGTTTCATGTGACAAAGGTCCATCTGTCTCAGCTGGATGTTTCCTGACGCTAAGGTCAGAAGCTTCTGGTGTGTAGCCACTGTTGGATTACAAGCTTTTTGTTTCTCTGTGTTAGCCTTTAGGGATTCGGGGGGAACACTGCATTTCAGATTGCCAGGTAGTCCCTGGGCCCCAGTGAAATTTATTTCTATGTAAATATTTCTTAAACGAATTCTCAGGATAAAAAGGGACAGTTGGAAGATTTTTCCTGCTTCAGTGAATGAGGAGAAAATTTTGAAGGAAGAAATGAGTTGCTGAAAAATGGTTTATGAATTAGTTCAGTATTTTCCGGATCTTATTTTAAGATTCTTGCTTGGATAGCTATTAGGTTCTAGAGGAATGAAATAGGCAGGTGATAAGTGGTCCAATACCAAGCACAGGTCCTGGCATGAAGTATGCTTTTAATTCATGTTGAATAACTTGCTGGTTATGGTGATATTTCAAAATTTTTTTTTCATAAAAACACAGTTTGGCTAACATAACAGCAATGTATATGCCGGAATTAGAGCTTTCATTTCCAAAAGTCATTTCATTTGTACCCTGTATTAAGTTATAGAAGATACATTCATTATCGTATCAAGTCCTTTGTCTATCAGGTTAATTAAATGAAGAATATATGACTGATTTCTGAAGCTTGTTAGCAATAACCAGGCTTTTAAAAAGTGGCAACTGTTGTTCATTTTTAGAAAAAGCAAAAGAATATAGGATACAATTCTCTAATAAAAAAAAGTACTTTAAAATGTATTTCAGATTGCCACCAATTGGATGGATTAGTCTTTTTTTTTAAGCTTTACTGAAGTGTAATTGACAAATTAAAATACTTTTAAAGTGAACAATGTGATGATGGGATACACGTATACATTGTGGAAGGATTCTCACAGAGTTAATGCATCCTGGAAGGATTAGTTTTAGAGAATGAAAGTCAAAACACGGGCTAAAATCACACTAATCATTTCTCTTTGTGTTGCTAATTTAGGCACGCATTTTACAAGTGCAGAGGGGCACTAGGGAAAGAAGTATGAATGACACAGGGCTCATTTATTTTGTTGTTGAAAAAAAGTCAAGGTACACACCCAACAAAGGTGTATCTTCATATACATGATTATCCTAAGTACCGTGAATTGGAGGTGACAGGGTTTGCTGTTGTTGTCGTCCCTGCCATTGTCGTTTATTTTTTTGTTTGTTTCACTTTTAAAATAACTGAGAATAAAGCTACACTATCTATGCATGTTTTACTTAACCAATCTCTCTTAGTATCAAGAAATTGTATCACAGAATTTTTCCATTGTGTAGGTAAAGAGAAATTGAGAACACGTTCCAGCCAAAGTCCAAATGATGGTTGACAAGAGCGTTAATTGGCAAATAACTTCACCTAGTGAAATCTGTTCGATTTTTTAAAAAGCAAAACAAACATTTGCACATTCTGGATTTAAAAGGTCATCGCTCATATTTTTGATATTCTAATAGCAACTACTTTTCAGGGATGTTCATTTATTCACAATATATTAAAATGCTTCTCCTCCGCACCCCGCCCCCATTGAAAATCTAGAACCTGGTGGTACTGGGTGCCATCCAGATAATACTGAAATCAACACTTGAACTTCAGCCACTAATTCAAGAAAAATTTCATGACATATCCCACAGACAGACTCAAAGATAAAGTTTTCATCTTTAAAAAGATCAGTACTCTTAATCAGATTTTGTTTTCTATATCTATATCTAAAAAAAGTCCAAAATAACACTCTGAGGGATGAGGCATATCATTACACAGGGTTAAGTAACAGCTCTTGAAAACAAAGTCCAGCTCAATGCTATTTTGTTTTATACAAATGAAATGAACAGCTTCTAAAAATATTGCCCATAGCTGTTAAATTAAAACAAAACAAAATAAACAAGAAAATGAGCATGTGATACAGTTGCAAAAGACACAAAACTGTTCTTATTTCATTGGTGCCTATACAGTGGAGTTAGTGTTAAAGAAAGAAAAATCATAGCACAGTATATTAACATAGGATTATTAATTTTTATTGCTCAGTGCAACGAGACACAGACTAAAGGCATTAATAACTAGAAAATTTAAAGGTTTAATATACTTTATTCTATAGTCTATACTACAAAATGAAGACCTGATTATGTAATGTAGCCAATAAGTGACTGATAGAAAAACTTATTAATACATATCTAAAACGTTATCATACAAACGTTTCAAGCAGGATCACTGCAAGTCAGAAAGAAAAATCAATCATAGTTAATAACAAAGAATTATCCATGGAAGATCAAATAGCTTAATGTTTATTTTTTGAGAAGGCATGTTCCCTTTGACAATAAAATAGCTCCTTTACTGCTAGCAAATTACGACCCAATTACGGATGTCTGCAAGGTCATTAAATATTTCTGGCTACCAAGGCAGAAGAAAGGACGTAAAGTACATTTCTGCTTTCTTGTTCTAGAACATTTAGCTCACCCTTTCTTTCAACATGGCTTCTTGCTCTCTGGGAGGTGTTAGGCTGTAAGAGCAAGGGATGTCGTGGTTGGCATCGTGACCATGTTGGCCACATCATGTGGTCAGAAAGGGAAGGTGTGAACTGCAACAGAAGTTACAGTGCCTGACACACTTGGCTTTTAAATGCTGACATGCAGAACAAAACGGTTGAAATTACTCTGTAGGAGCATTCACAGCTAGATAACATAAAACTCGTATCTTGTGCATGCTAGGAGTGAAAGGCCCTCAAGAAAAGGAACAAAAGCCAAACTCAAAAGGAAAGGAAAAGAAAAGAAAAGTTACAGTGACCATTCCTGGGAACTTACTCAGAGTCTTTGTTCCATAACCGTCGTCACCTAATCCGGGGATGTCCTGCATGGAAGTCCCCAGAGAGAGCAATGAGAGAGGAAGAACAGCCACGGAAGAGGAAGGAAGAAGTCAGTGGAGTTGAAATGGATACTACCATGACAGACCATGTTGCCTAAGCAATCTGGATCCCGCTCTTTCTTCTTTTGAAACAACTTTCACCCAAACTCCCTGGGCTGAGGCACAACGATTTGTAAAGCAACTCAAAAGATGGTGAGTTTAAGGAAAAAAAAAAAATCATAAGACTGTTAGAGGAAAAGAAGAAGATTCACCAAATGCCATTTTTGCCCGCTGTTAATATTGCCACAGAAATGTGCCACTCAGAGCAATGCTCCACTCCCAAGTTTTAAGACAAATTCTTCGATTTAGCATCCACCAATGCAAGCTCACTGCCCAGTAAGTATTTAATATTTGCTGGGAGGGAAGGTGTAGACGCAGGGCTAGTAATCAATGCAGACAATTTAATTGCTCTCAATGAGCTAGAATTCAAAAACATACATGTGGCAATGGAATTCAGTATTTCTGTTCAGAAAAGAATTTGTCTCAAGCCCTCAAGAGCTGGTAGGACAGAAAAGGCAAACCAGACCCAGTCCTGGTCACAGAAAAATGCTGTCTGGAAGCAAAGTCCCAGCTTCCTGAAGTCCCTCTCCAGTGCATCCTGCAAAGAAGAGCCACATCAAGGGTAGGATCCAGACTACCGCCAAACACTGGTCACAGTAGTAAGCCCTGACCTGCCTGCCTACCATGTTTGTTTGCCTAGGCGTGTGGCGTGCGGGAGCCTACATCATGCGTGTTGCCCGTGAAGAATTTTTTCTCTTGTGTTGCATGTGACATTCTCTTCGAGAATCTACTTACGTTCAGGATCACTGGTTTCCTGCTCACTCTGCTCCTTGTTCTTGTAGAATGGGAATTTTCGTGAAAAGATGAAGCTCTTTTTACGCTTGTCATTGAATGACTGTGAAGGAGAAAAGGCATGGGGCAAAAACAGGGGACGTCTAATTGTTGTCACACTCATGCTGACAAAACAACTAGTTTGTAAAAGCAGAGAGAGCTGTAGTGACGCAAGTGGATAGTCTAAAGAGGTACCAGAGGCTCCCTGAAGGCAGATTTTATTTTCAAGGAGTGTAAATTCTGAAAGATGACCTCTTGGAAAAAAATGCCTCTTAATGAAAAGACTGGTTGCAGGTAAATGATGATGGAGGAAAGGGGTCTTAACTTGGAAGTGGAAGACCCAGACCTTCTGTCCTGGCTCTACAACTTGCTAGTCCATCACCTTAGACAGGTAACTGAATCTCACTGACCCTCAGTATCTTCTTCATTGTATAATGGAGGATAATGACAGCAACTCTTAGGGTGTGAGACTGAGGTGAGGCAGGATCAACATAACATGCTATACAAATGTCATCTTTATCGTCATCATTGTCGTCAGGTAGGGAAGACTTTCTTAGAGATACTAGACACATCAGTGCCCAGATGTCATTTTTAGTAAGTTGAATGTGAGTTACTTTGGCTTGGATTTAATTTAAAACACACAGAGAAGTGTGTAGGTTTATGATATATGATATTTATAATATCACACACAGATCTATAAAAATCATTCATTTAAAAGAGATTTTAAAGACACATGAGCCCCACATCCTCATCTTGGAAACAGGGCCAGAGGCACAGAGAGGTTGAGTCCCTTGCTAATAGCACAGGGCTAGTTGGTGACAGCTGGGACACTGTCAACCCAAATCTGATATTAAGAGATACTAACTTGATACTCAAGCAAGAGAGAAATAATGGTTACTTGCCTATATTCTGCCATGATAAAAAATACTGTAAGAAGGACTGTCCTTAAAAATGTAAACCACTTCATTAGGTTAAATGAGGCTTAATTAAAAGTAACACAGATATACGTAATATAAGACATATATTAGAACTTATTCATTTGCTTGACCAGAAGACCCCTTAAGAAAATTTCATTCATTCTGTTGCTGTTGTGTAAATGTTGTGGGGTTCTTCTTTGGGAAATGAATTCACAGTCATTTTATAAGCCATAGGCTCTGCAAGTCTTAATAATTTCATATTCACATAACATTTAAAAAATATTTCACCAGCTTGATTACCATACTTATTTGACTGGCGCTGACACTCTCCAAAGAGCAAGAGTTGTTACCATGTAGGTATTAAAATGAATGTGCCAAAGACTTTGAAGGTAATTTGACAAGGGGTGTTCCAAAACAGTTTTAGCAATGGCAACTGGGAGGAATAAATGTCAGGCCAGCATGGTGACTATTTGGAAGGAAAAGCCCTTGTTCAGATGTATGTATTTTATCCACTGGAGGGAATCAGTGGCATGCCTTATGATTTTGAAGCTTGACTAAATAGTGTACGTTACTTAGTTTCTTTGCATACTCATGTGCTTTCTATCAGATATCCATTTTGATAGTCATGTTTATGTAGGAAACATTAAAGTGCTAAAATGTTGGTGCTCTCATTCAGTAATTTATTACTTTTTTGGGTGCCAGGAACTTCACCAAATCAGTGGAGCTTAATTTTTATGTCCCATTAAGAAAGCTTGAAGAAAAAAGTAATTAAGTCAAATATTTAATAATTTTTGAAATTAGGAAACATATTTTATATGTAACGCATCAAGTATTAGATATACATTCTCAGGGTAAAAAGGAATACTACTGTAGGATTTATGACTCCGCTGACAGCACTTATGTGCAATATAGTTTTGTCAGAACTTGTCATTGAGGATTTGTGTCCAGAGACAAGGCTGGAAACTGCCCCCCAAATTTTCCCAGCTAAAAAATGATGTCATTAAAGGAATATTAAATATTCTTGCATCACTCCAGTTTCATGCTACTTTTACTTTTCAAGCATATTTAAACTTCAGTAACTGAAAATAAAAGAAAAAAATTATGTAAGAATTAATGACATGTGTATTGCAAGATATGTTAGACATTTAAATTCAACATCATGGATGACTTGTCATGCAAAAAAAAAAAATTTACAAATTCTCATGCAAATACAAAACAGTGCCCAAAGGAGGAAAGCCTGGGGTTAAAATGTAGACACAGATGGGCAGCGTGGAGGTGTGTAAGGGCCAAAATGGGGGCACATGCAAACCACATCATTTAACTTGTCTCATGGGGTCAAAGGAAAATGAATATGTGTTGTCTGTGATTAATTCTTTTTTCATTTCAAAGCAAGGACTGTAATGTGTTAACATTTCCCCAGTATGAAAATGTTGTGTATCATGACTCATCTGATTGGGATATAATAATATTTAGCATCACATCTTTAAAAGAACAGAAAAATACATAATAATTGCTCAGAATAAAATTATCTAATTTATTAGTCTTATTCTCCAAACTCATTCTGTATTGGAATGAAAGAGAAGGTAATAGAATCATTGGTGGTTGAATGGCCTCACATTCATGGGCACAAAACCAAATCACAACTTCCATTCACACTCACAGACTTAAAAGTCACACATTATGGGTCTTAGCTAAACATCTCAAATGTAAGAGGTTATAGGTGGTTTATAATGCTCTAACGCTAGTCTTTATTTTTTTATTAGACATGTATAATACCATTATATGAGCTTTCTGTTGCTGGTAATTTTTTTTTTTTTATTTAAAAAAGGAGAATCTGTTACATGAGTGTTAGGTGAAAATAATAAATTAGCACTTTTACTATTTATAGAACACATGGCTCTCCAGCAACTGAAGGCTGGTTTACAGCTCCGTTAATCATACTTGATCAACTTTTTCCCTCTACACTGCTGTGTCTTACTTGGACCTCCATCTAATGCTCTCATGGCAGGAAACTTCTCTGAATAGAGACTTTGAAAATACCAATCACGTGTAGCAAGCGGCAAGTTGGCATATGTAAGGATTCCATTTTAGAATTTGACCTGAATCACTGAGTTCTTATGAACAAAAGTGATGCAACAACTGTTTACGGAGCACTTATTATGTGCCAGGCTTGGTGCTAAAAGCCGTACATGTGCTAATCTCCACACTAACTTCAGGAGGTTGTTATTATCATTATTCCCACGTTACAGATGAGGAAACCAAAGTTACAAATCTTCTGTTCCTTGTCCAGAGTCACATAGTTGGTGAGAGGTGAAGTCAGGACTTGAATGAAACTAGTAATTACTGGTTGAAGATAATGTTGCTCTTATGAGCAAGAAAAGCTTCTGCAAGCCAAGCCTGTTTCAAATTTATATTTAAAATTATTAGCACTTGACTTTCATGATGCCGTAACCTGTCATCATTCCTACAGCTTCACTGTTTGGCAGTTATTTATTTAGACCATCAGAAGTTATTGGATTCAACAATGTTTTTGTGGGTTATCCTGTTACAATTTTTTTGATACCCACTCGTGTTTTTGAGGGGTCTATGCGATTCTTATTGATAATGTAAAAAATAAGATAAAAAGAATTTCCGTGGGACAAGCTGTGAATGGCAATGAAACGGTGATTGTTCATGAGAGGCAGAAACCTAAAGAGACAAAGTAGATTAGTGGTTGGTTAGGGTTGGGGATAGGGCATACAGAGAGTGGGAAGTGACAGCTGATGAGTATGATGTTAGTTTTAGGGCAGATGAAATGTTCTAAAATTAGACTGTGGTGATGATTGCATAACCCTATGAATATACTAAAAAACACTGAATTGTACACTTTAAGTGAGTGAATTGTATACTATGTGAATTATATCTCAATAAAGTTATTAAAAAAAAGGAACCTCTCCCCAACCCCTACACCATAGGATGGGAGGAAACAAACACAGCATGTTTTACATTTTACGTGGAGCAAATAATTTTTATCTTGAATTGAATGAGTTGAAAACACCCTCCCCAACCCCTGCAATCAATCAGATACACATGCCTTGTTTATCTGGTTCTGCTGTTCCTCTGTTAAATGAATACCTTTCATGTTGTGACAGACATTAGAACACCCATACCAGGAGTCAGCATATTATCACTGTCACTCAAGAAATCTCTAAGTTGTTGGGTCAAGTGGCATGAAACTGCTCAGCTTGACCCTAAGTTGTAATGGCATTGCTGAATTGGCTTAAGATAATACATGCTTCATGAAGAAAGAAAGGAAACAAAACAAAAAACTCAAATTGCTGCTTCTTTCACTTGAATCCCATGCTCTTAAAGACACATGAGTGAACTGATGTATTTTTGTCTTTTTCATGCAGAAAACTTTAAAACTAGGGGTATGTTTCAGTTTCTCTTTCTCCATATTCCTGTTCAAAATTTTTAAATCTCAAATGTTTCCTAGCTCTAAAATGTCACCTTCGTGATATGAACATTCCCTGGGAAGAATTCAGATTTAAATTTGTACTGAGCCCAGATAACACAATTTTTGTGGCCTCCTTATCTTTCACAAATGCCTCTTTCCTCTTAATTTATTCATATCCCATCTCCTCTAAGATAATTGTATTCCCCCTGGAAAGTTGTTACTATAAATTTGGGCCATCACTTTGTATTATACATATCTTGTTTTTGTACAGAAAAGAGATTTTTATAACAAGAGAGGGTCAAGAACAAGTAAGAATGAAATAAAGAGATTGTTAAAGGAAAGACAAGAGTTGGCTTGAGATACATTTGTTCCCAGAAATGTCTCTATATGGATGTGTGTATACATATGTGTGTCTAGAACATCGTCCAATTCAAAAAGGGTTCCATTTGCAACCCTAATGAATCAATGGATCTAGGCATTGAGCACCAGTAGCTGGTAATATCACACACACAAAAAAGACAATCAGATGATATATGCTTCCTGATGGGAGAATAAAATATTACTATAGAGTAGTTCTGTAAACATCTATTTTCAAAAGAAAAGAACACAAAACAAAACCCTTTTCTCCAGTGAATCTGAATATAATTAAACCTTTCATCCAACAAAGAATTTATAGAAATAGAGAAACATGATAAATTATATTCTAAGGAA